AGACAAGGTAATACATTATTCTGTATTGAAAACATAGAACTGATTAGTTGAAAGGGAACGATGATTTAATTGGTAATGGTTTGAATTATCCCGTTGTTGATATTTTAGTTAAATTTCGTTCCCTCACAAGATGTACATATACTGAGTTTGAATCTCGTGAGCGAGATCGTGGATGTGCACTGCCACTGAGGAGTTCCACAATATGACGAAACAGCCGTCCAGTGCTTTTAGGTTTTCAATGGTGGTCTAACATTAATCGGTTCATGATCTCAATCAAAAACTTAATAATCTCCACAACTCCTAAAACGATATTATACTAATAAAACTGATGCATTTGCTAAGAATGTATATGATCAAATATGTGGCATTAAGTGAAAATTGTATTCTAACAAAAGAAGGTTGAGAAAGTAACTGATTGTGTTTGAAATGAAGTTCTGAAATTCTAATAATAAGCTATAACTTGAGAGTAGAGGGGAAGTTTAGTTATTTCAGTAGTAAGGCAAATATTTTCTGTGTAATGAGCGGTTGTCCAGCAGTATCGTGAACACATAGGTCATTAATCTATAGATATTTATTTTGAAATTAATAGACTCTATGTTTGAATCCTTACGGTGTCATGGAGGACACATACTACGGGAGTATTACGAAACTAGGTTCCCTTCTTGTTTTCAATAATGCACTAACTGATGACGCTGGCAGCGTGTATATTTATAAGTTTGAAAACTATTGAGACGTGGAAGCACTATACAGCTGCCTAATCCTAGTATTGGACTCCTCATTAGTGCACACAAAAACAGTACCGTCGGCAAGATGCGTTAAGTTAGTGCCTTAACATTTTCATAAAAACAAACGTAGCCAACATTTAATTTCTAGTTATAAGAAGAGAATTATCCGATTCCATGATAAACTTATAATTTCCATCACTGATTGAATTCAGTTCGATAATCAGTAGATATCATTATTGCAGATCAACAATACCACTATATTATTTTGATTGAGATCATGATGTCAAGCCACCACTGAAAACCTGAAAACACTGAATAGTTGTTTCGTCCTATTGTGAGACTTCTCAGTGACAGTGCGCATCCACGATACCACTCGCGGGGTTCGAACACAGTGCCTTCAGTCTCGCATGCGAATGCTTAACCTACTGGATCACTGAACCGGCATCCAATTGTGTTAATGTCTAAACTCAACCAATCCACGAAATTGCGCGACCAACTTTCATTGTACTGAGGTAGATACCTGTCTCTACTCAATACGGGATCGTGGATGTAGGCTACTGAGTAGTCCCACACTAGGATGAAACAGCCGTTCAGTGCTTCCAGGTTTCCAACGGTGGTCTAACATCAATCGGTTCATGATCTCAATCAAAAAAACTTAACAATCTCCACAACCCCTAAACTGATAATACCACAACATGTTAAAACCAGAACCATCATATATAGAAGTAAGGCGTTAATCTTTAAACCATTAGCTTGCGTTGATTGGTTTATACGTTTAATTTCAGTCAATTCGTGATGTTATAAAATAATAGTTTATAGAAGTTGATAATGTTTTTCTCACCCCGACATAATTAAATTTAAATAGTCATAGATGAGCACTTCTAATGAGTTCAAAAATAGGACGAGATGGTTATTCCGTTACTTCTTACTATCTATAGTTAGTTAGTGATATGAAACTGTAAAGTCAACAATTTTAAAAAATTGTTCTCACATTAGCTAATTGTTTATATATTTGATATGCCCTGATACGACCGAAGGTAGAGAGAGAGAGAGACAGTCCACTCTTCCCCTCCAAATATTCTCACATGGCCACACACATATATAGCCACTGACAGCGAAGTCATCATCATCGTCATCATCCAAATCATCATTATCACACTGAATTAAACATATGGAATTAACAGAATAGGGTTTTTTGTGGATATTATACTAATTTTAATAGTTGAAATCCTGAGTTAATTGAAGCTTAACTACCATGGAAAATCTGAAAGCAGTAGATGGTTGTTTCGTCCTATTGTAGAACTCTTCAATAGTAATAGTATTTCTTTCATGTTGATCATTATCAATTATATAAAATAGTTAGTTTACTTCATTAACTATTCATCATTATCAAGGTCAAATAAATCATTTATGAACCGATATGAAACATGAATCTTATTCTATAAAACGGTTAACAATAAGGGGTATGGATACCTTAAAAGATATAAAACTGTACTTAATAGTAAACAAGCCTTAATTTACTGTTTGTTTGTTTGTTTAAACCAAATAGATAATCCTAACGGTCATGATCTAATTTGCCGCTTGTATTTTTTTTTGGTAAACCTTCATGAGGTCATAACACTTTCATTCATTACAGGTAATATTAGGGATATATGAGTATAACAGAGTGATAGAAGCAGAAATTTTCATATATATAAACCATATGATTGAATACGATTGATTCTCTAGAGATTTTCCCATCTTAAATTTCCCATAATTATTTATTCTAAAAATGAGATATCATTAAAGGTCAATAATAAAAGGTAAATATTCATTTAAGGTAGTTGTGTTGTTTAAGAAATTGTAGAGACGAAAAGCGAATGTCCAACTCTTTAATGAGGAGAGCTCATCTAGGAGAGTTGGAAAACCCTCATTCCAAACTAATGGTAGACATGGGCTCCAGTATTCTGAGGGAACAAATGGCGTATGAACCAATCGTCGATCACTGGCTATCATGGAACTGCATGTCCTTACGTTACTCCACTGCATTGAGGCTCAGACCTCTAGGTGAGTGGCTTGTGGAGTGACCTCTTAAGAAAACCACCTGTTTCGTTTTGGGCACCCACTCTTACATAAATCGAATGATTTATGTGGCACATATTTATTTGGTGCCTCCTTGTACAAATGTTTATATGTTTAAATAAATAAACATATAAAATAAATATTAATGATAAGACCACTCGGCCACTCCACTGAGTTACTAGATTTAGGTCACTAATAGCTTGATCAATGAGTATGATATTCATATCATCCATGTTATGCGTTCAAATTATGACAAATCCATGACAGGATGGCTCTCTGTTGGACTGAGATGCTAAGGATATGTATATACTATCAAAGACTGATAAAAAAACGATATTAATCCTGAATATTTACAAGCGAATAATTCAAACCAATACTAATAATGGTTAAAAAGGTTATACCTATTCATCAAGTTAATAGCTACCTATAATCATTAGTTCAGGAAGTCGCACTTTATCAATTAAAGCTAAGGATGGATACTTGGTTCGAGCCCCAGCAAGGATATCAATACTGACATGCGAATAGGAAAAAAACGCACGTTATGGATCTCATTACTAAGCACAATTCATCTGTTTTAAAGAATATTTATATGTTTATGGAGATATTGAGTCACTTTATTATTATCATATTGTGGTGTGGGTTACTTATATCCACACAAGTAGTATATAATGGTGGTCAGGCATAAAATATATTTCAGTAAAAGGTCAATGAAGAAAGAATGGCAACGGAACACAATTGATATGAAAATGCATGAACAATGAAATCTGAGACAATGGATTGATGTTTACTACAGGAATAGTCAAGTTTAAGATGATGGATTAATATTTAGTTCTCAGACATTTTATTGAGATGTTCTGTAATTTTGTACTGAAATATATTCGATTGTTCCTACTGTTGACTTAATGACTTAATGAAAGATTTTTAATCAGTAGTATGTATGTTGTCAGATTAAATAATCTAACAGTGATTTACTATATATTGGTAATAATCGTCTAAATGTGTAAGTGTTCAGACATTTCCTTTGACCATTGAAGCTGCACTGTAATGGGTGTGAGACAGTTACTTAATAATGTCATTGAGTTATGATTACAAATTTTGAGATCTAACTGAGGTTGAAAATATGAATCATTCGAAATAAACTCAATGATCTAAAGGTTATGAGCTCTCAGTGATACCTAAAGAATATAGGTTCGATCTTCGGGTATGGTTATAAATGCGGATTTTAGAGGAGTTTCATACATAGACGAGTCAAATGTTCAATGATTTTTTATTTTTAGTAGTTGTTTAACTATAATCATTCCGTGGTGTAGACTTTGAAATGATTGACTTCTTTCCGTTACTTAATTTTCCAATTTCAACAGATCAAAATATTTATCTGAATTGACCTCAACCATTCAGTGTGAAGAGGGAGATTGATTATGAATACAGTGGTCTTGAGTGCTGTTGGAGGTATGAGAGCGGTTATCATTTCCCGGTTGCCCACACCGTGGAAGGGTTCTTCTGGAGGTACCTGAAAAAGAAATTAGATTATAGGTTGTCTTATTTACCTGAAAGCGTGACCGCAGTTCCCAAGGGATAACTTCTTAAGGTCGGTCACACATGAACTTTATATGAGTCATTTTAGTGTTAGCTCCGTACTTGTTGAGATCTTACTGTCGGAGATGGATATCCGTGAGATAAGTCCATGTGTACATTTTTAGGGTCGATCTTTTCTAATCCTACCCTTCCTTGTGAGAAGGTAGCATCGCTGTCATGCTGGTCGTCTGAAGCAAACAGCTTACTGCCATCACACCATTCAGTGCACAAATGATATTTACATTCAAGTAATTCAAAGACTACCTATTGAAACACTATTGCATGCTTTAATTTATCAATAAAATATAGTTTTATTATATATATAAGATACATATCATTGTTTGTTAAACTTCCTATTCTTTTTTATCAGAATGGGATTTGTGGAGTTTTGTAGTGATTTTAATAGTTGAATTCATGAGTCGATATAAACTAGATCATCATTGAAAACTTGAAAGCACTGAACAGATACATATTGCTAAGGAACTGTATACTAAGACGAAATGGCTGTCTAATACCTCCAGGTTATCCACGATGATCTAGTTTACATTGACTCATGAATTCAACTAGTAGACTTCATATTTTATTATTACATTCAATTTGTTTTAATCTTTACACAATAGTTAATTTATACCATTTCAGTTGTCAATATGGTGATGATCAATGTACAATTAATGATTTTATCTCAATATTTACAACACATGGATGGTGTTATCAATTTCATTTGAATTTTTCCAGAAGTAAGTGATATTTTAATGTTTTAATTTTGCTTTCTTTATATTAAAATTAATATTGGATGCCGGCTCATTGATCCAGTAGGTTAAGCGAATGCATACGAGACTGAGAGTTCTGGATTCGAATACAGCGAGTGGGATTGATCGTTGAAAAGTAATCAATTTCATGTTTATTTGGGGTTTTTTTTCAATCCAAGTGGTTCATTCATCCCTCTATGATTTCTTTTCATGATAGATGCTGAATTAAAATTAATATTGGATCCACAAGAATATGATTACATAATACCAAATAAAGGTTATGTTGGTTTTTATTTAACTGTACAAAATCTAAATTGTTCACCTAGGCAACAATTCAATATGAATAATAATAATAATGATCAATCTATTATTGTTGGACCAAAGTTTCATTCGTATATTAGTATACAAGTAAGTTATTGAATTTATATTCAGCTTACTTATATATATTGAGTCAAATAAATTGATAAAGGATAAGTTATGATATAGGCCTCATATATTAAATAAGAACTAGAACGAAACTTACGAATGATTCAATTTCAACCAATCCACAAAAATTACGCTAACGTTACCATTATCATCAGTGAGCTGATATGTCACAACAGACCTGGTTGAATTTCAATGGTGACGGCTTCTCACTAGAACTCCAGGAGTGTCTCTTGAAGTCAGTCACTATTGAGCATACGATGTTTATTATTGGAAGAAGTTTTGTGAAGATTGTAGTAATTTCACTAGCATCAATTGACTCATGACTTCAACCATTGAAATTTCTAAAATTTCTACAAAACCCCTTCTGATAATGATTCCATTGTTTATTTTTTGACTTAATGAAATACTTACTTACTTACGCCTGTTACTCCTAATGGAGCATAGGCCACAGACCAGCATTCTCCAACTCACTCTGTCCTGGGCCTTCTTTTCTAATTCCGTCCAATTCTTGCCTATTTTTCTTATGTCTATTTCCATTTCCCGGCGTACTGTGTTCTTTGGTCTTCCTATTCTCCTTTGACATTGAAGATTCCATGTGAGGGCTTGTCTTGTGACGACGTTGAGTGCTTTCCCCAATGTGTGTCTGATCCACTTCCAGTGCTTCTTCTTGATTTCTTCCTCCGCTGGGATCTGGTTTGTTCTTTCTCACAGTTCGTTGTTGTTAATAGTGTCCGGCCAACGGATCCGAAGTAGTTTGCGTAGACAACTGTATCTTGTGGATAATGGCTTTCGTACTTCACTGCCTGGAGTCCCTCCGGGGGCTACTGCCGGTCCCAAGCCCGGATAAAGGAGGAGGGTTGGGCATGGGGTTAGCGATCCCATCCCGTAGAAAACTAACCCGCTAAAAAACACTAACCAGAAAAAATTAATGAAATACAATATGATAGAAACCTTTCATTACACAAGAATATCAGTGAGAACAATCAAATCTATTTCAATGATAACATTACAGACTTTGTTATTTCATCATTTTCATACCAGTTATTCTCTATTATATATTCTCTGCTCTTTGATTTCGCTCAATCTTCTGCTTCGAGGCATTTCATTTCCGATTAATGATACATACTACTTATATCTGTCGATATCAGTAGCACATAACATATGATAACTAAAAATGTTCATAGCATACAAATGTTTGATTACCATAAATGTAATCAGATCAATGAGAGTTGATTACCTCACTATATATTACTAATTAAGGAGGATAGATAGATACAAATGTTTATATATCTGAAAGTGAATGACATCATCTATGGAAACTATACAGTCTTATTCAAAATGATTTAATAAATATAATAATTGATTAAGAAGTAGAAAGGTGATTATTTTGTCGTCATTTAGATCGGACAATGTTTGTTGATGGGCTGTTCACTTTAGTGGCCCGGGATCTGACTCCAACTTGATCGTATGAATGATTATTATTGAAATATATAATAATAATAGATTTCGGAAAAAAAAACTCATTTCTGAATGCTCTGATGACTTTCAAGATGAAATAACTCTTTTATAATTAAACTGTTCGTCTCAAACAACATAATACTACCAAAATATTCAGAGTTGAATTTGATTGATCTCTGGTAGTATATAGGCTCCGTGATTAGATATCTCGATAGTGGCCATAGTTACAAGAAAACATTATGTTACATTTGGTCGTCGCAATTGTTGTGCCGGAAAACGCTGATCACTTATACTCGGAATGAGAGACCTCGGTAATTCCCACGATGCGAAGGTAAGAACACAAAGACTGGTATAAGTGAAGATTTATTAGCCCCAAACACTATGACAACGACGAATCGAGATCTAATCCAAAATACACTGGTTTCTATATTGATTGTACATCCAGTTTGATTAATAATTAGGATTAAATCACATACTCAGTTATAACAAATCACTTACTGAGCATAGATCATGTCAACTGAATATAAGAATATCGTATATTATACAGAAGAAACTATCATACTGGGAAAACAAATCAAATACTACATTGACTGATCCTCATGATGAATCAAAACGGATGTTGAATGTTGAATCAAATTTATAATGAGTAATTCATACGAAAATTGACTTTTCTTTCCATCATATCACACTGAAACCCAGATATTTTTTTTATTTCATCATGACTCAATAGCTAAATGTATAAAGCATTGGGTTTGAAATCAACAGTTACACGAATAAAGGATCAATGTTAAGATCAACATTAAGTTGTACAAGTATCAGTTTTGATCGACCAATCCTGGAACGAATGAATCGTGTGTTTTTACTCTTTACAAACTAATATAATCAATTTGGTCAGTATAATTTCATAATCTTGACACATCTATATGATACATCATTTAGATCAGATTAACTTCTATCCTATTCTTTTTACATTTCTAATATTGATTTAGCAACAATATTTTGTCAGAAGTGGAAATCATTTTGGAACAAACATTAAAGGTTAGTTTCGTCTGAACTGTTTACTGTTACAAATATGTTTATTTACATTTTAATGTGTTGGTTAGTAACATTATCGGTTTACAGTCAATAACAAACTAGATAGATAGATTTGTGAAACTCATTGTTGTAGTACCTTTGGTCTTGTACATTAACGCTTCAGTTCTGTATCACGGATCCAATATCCGCTGATACACAAGTTTCACTTGACTTAATTGAATATGTTGCATCAACCTAATGCATTGTTTTCTATGGTACCTTCAAGATATTTGACATTGCTGAACTTTGTTAGTCACGTCTTTTCATAAGGCCCCAAAAATTTATTCTTAGAACAAGTCCTTAGTGAAAACATGATAATTATCAAATTGGAGGTTATGGAAGTTGCTTAACTTTATTCAGATAATCAGTGGATCCAGATTAGTATTTTGGAAGTGAAGCGTTGATATGCAAGACCAAAGTTTCTACATTTGATCATCGATGGCGGAGTCGTTGATGTATACAACCACTGAACAGTCCAATACTAGAACGTGAAAACTATCTAGTGATTTCAGATTTTGATGATCAGTGCTTCTTTATAAGCTTCAATAAACCATTTTTCTTATTTTACAAATAATGTTATGCCTACTGTTTGCAGCTAATATTAAGCCTTAGAATGGAACGAATCTATCTGAGTCTATCAATCCTGTTGCTTTGGCTTTGCTTAAATTTATCAACGGATTAAGTTGCATCAGTCAGTCAGTCAGTAACAATGTAGAACTTCGTACGTACGTACATCAGTTCGAGTTGCCATACCACATTAGCACAGAGATACAATTGTCGATTCAAATCTCATAGTGGTAGAGGTAGTAAGAGTATAAGCAGTAGTCGGAAACATTAGGGTTTGAAAATGTTATTCAAGGAGTATGATTCAGTGAAATAAATTTCAAAAGAGAAAAGAAGGGACATGAATAATTCGGAAGATTAGAATTTGGGAGAACACAAAGAGTAGATGCACCTGCGCACACCATTGCAAACGATTTTTCGCCATGTCATTCAACGTCTCTAACCATCGGTTATTAACGTCTCGTGGATCCCAACCAGATAGTCTACACCTATCAACATGACTCAGTCCACTTGTCAGTGATTTCACAAATTTGTGCCATATTTTGGTCTGGCCACCCCCAGCTTTCTTCTAACCTACTCCTACTCCTACACCACAAAACATCGCACGTCTGGGCAGTCGGTGGCTGAGCATACGTAACATGTGTCCCAGCCATTTCAACTGATAAAGTTGTATGGAACAAACCAGATAAATTTATATTATTAGTAATATTAGGAGATTTCTCAAAAGTGTTTAACGTGAAGTCCACTTGATAGATTGACTTTAGCAAGATAACTATTGGATGACAAATAAATAGTTAGAATGTTTACCGTTCAATGCACTGACCATAAGTTTTATGTTCGACCCCTGTTTGAATCATGGTTGAACATTGTTAGTCAGCCTTATACTACGATGAAGTAGCTACTAGTCTTCACATGTTGTCGGTGATTATCTAGCTACGGTCAGTCTTTGATGTAAGTTACAGATTTTTTATTCCTATTATAACAGATAATCAATCCATGTAATCGCATTGTAATTTTTATTCTACACAAAACTGTTTTTTACATTTAACAGATATTTGCCCAGCATATAATATACAATCAGTTGTACAACTAGAAAAGCTTCCAATTCAAATACATTTATTACAGAAATTCAATACGAATTTATTCAAACGAAATGGTACTGTAGTAAGTTTGATCATACAGAATTAAACTTACTTGCTTACTTACTTAATCCTGTTACTCCTCGTCGAGGAGCATCGGCCGCCACCCACCAGCATTTTCCATCTAACCCTGTCATGGACAATCCTTTCCAGTTGTTATTCATCTTTATCATGTTTGCATCCGATTCATGATGCAATATGTTCCTTGGTCTTCCTCTTTCCTGCTTACCTTCAGGATTCCAAGTTATGGCTTTTCTCGTGATGCAATTTGATGATTTCTACAATGTACGTCATATACACCTACAATGTCTTTCAATAATTTCATCTTCAATTCGAAACTGGTTCATTCTCTCTCACAGTTGGTTGATGCTGATGATTACCAGCCATGGACATTGAGTATCTTGAGTAGACAACTGTTTATAAATAATTGTACCTTCTTGATGATGGTTGTTGTAGTTCTACACGTTTCGGCTCCATACAGTAGAACTGTCTTGACGTTTGTATTGAAGAATCTCACTTTGAAAATGGTTGATAAACAGTTTTTTTGAGTTCCACATGTTCTTCAGTTTTAGAAATGTTCCTCTTGCTTTGTCACTCTTTGCCTTCATATTTGCATAAGATCTCCATTGTTCGTAGATGATACTCCCTAGATATGTGGAAGATTCCAACTCTACTAGAGTTGATCCATTACGTGTGATTGAGTTGATGTTCTCTGTATTGTATGACAGTATCTTGCTTTTTTCTTTGTGTACCTTGAAACCTACTGATGCAGAGGCTGCTGTTATTCTGTTTGTCTTTACGTTCATTTGGTGATCTGTATGGGATATAAGGGCTAGGTCATCTGCGAAGTCAAAATCGTCTACTTCTACCCCACCTGTCCATTTTATTTTGTGCTTCTCGTCAAATTCGGAGGTCTTCATAATGCAGTCAATCATGATAGGTAACAGAAAGGGGGAGGAGTAAGCAGTATTGTCTAATTCCAGTCCCCACTTGGAATGCGTCTGTCACCTGTCCTCCATGCACCACATTATCGTGTAGTCCATCATATGAATTCCGGATGATGTTGACGATTTTACAGAATTAAACACTAAGAATTTATCCACCACAATGTCAATAATAAATGAAATCAAATATTATCTATAAACTAGTTTTAGCCTCCTTGATTATGTTCATCACATATCGACCTCAGTTGAAATTTATTAAAAGCCATGAAGCACTTTTCTGTTGCTTAGTCTTAGTAAGAGACTCCTCAGGTATGTTTATCCATGAACTAACCGTGTATCAGACCCATGAACTTCAGATCTAGCGGGGAACACTTGAACACTCGATTCACTAATTTGATGTCCATTAGTAAAATTACAGCTTCAATCAATTTATGATATATCGTAACAACTATCCAATGACATTGATAACAACTGTTTTATATTCTACATGTTTGATTCTTATGGTAATCATTTCTTATTGAAATAATAATAAACAGATCAATGTCACATTCTAGCAGGAAGTTTATCAGTGTCATTGAGTTCTCTGAGATGGATCATAACTTCAATGGATAATTCATGTAGAATTACACTTCTCAGTTACTGTACAAGTGTTAAATCGGTTGGTTTTTAGTAACTGACTCTTTACTAAGGTTTTGTGATTTACCTTTGTGTTAAAACAATCCTGTTTACTGACTTTTACAATTGATCTCGAACTCTTATAAATCGGGTAGTATATGCTAATGTAATCACTGATTCCCTATTTATTTGAAAGTCATGCTTTTGGAAATTATCTGCATTCACTTTACAAGTGAAGGTCAGCTTACATTCCTTATCTTACATGAGTAAGGAATTGATTTTACTACCCAAAACGACAATCAAAACTCAGAGAACTCAGTAATACTTCTTAGTCAATTATTTATGTATTTCTAACGATGGAAATTATCAAACTATTAGTTACGTGGTATTCTTAGCAGTGAACACTAACTAAAATGTGAACTTAAAATGTGTTTTAAAGCTATATCGATGCATCCGCACAGGATGCACACATGCCAACATGACACTGAACAAATGCAGTCCTAACTAACAATAGGAAGATACAAGTAAAACAACACCAAGTGAATTTAAACTTCATCCCATTACACAAACAAGTAGCTGTCAGGACTCAATAACTAAGTGAAGTACGCGATGTCATTTCAAGCAAACGGTACTGCGTTGGAGTCCCGGAGTGAACATCAACTCTGAGATGCAGTTACATTCGGTTGACAAGTCCTAAATAGGACGGAGTGCTCGTCAAACTGGAATCCACTGCTAGCCGTTATTCATCTTTACTTAGAACACTTGTGACTTAAGGCTATATCGAGGCAATCCACACATGATGCACATACGTTAATAAGAGACTGATCAATTGCTGTCCTAAATAACAATAGGAAGATACAACTAAAGCAACACTAAGTGAATTTTTACATGAAAATCAAACTGTTCATAGAAGGATAGAAAGTGATCACGTTTAAACAAAGTATTGATTCCTTATTCAATGATATGATTCTAATCTTTTGATAATGTTTCAACAGATATCCGTTTGTTTTGTAATTAGACCACCAATGATTATGCATGAATGTATGTATATGTCATCGTAGAACAAATCGGAAACGCTTTATCATCGTTTTCTTTTTCGAAAATAAAGGTACTATAGAGAGAACTATAGATTTACAATATAGTGTAGTGTCAGTTTCAACTGGTCTTAAGAACAAATGTATTGACAACTGAAATATTAGGTGAGAAAGGTACAACAAAAACGAACTATCATTCTAAATGAATTGATCTAATCGCTAACAAACATTATTATGATATTATGAATCTAATCTCTTATTATAAACTAAGATAAAACCCTAAAGTCTAATAGAGGTTTATATCATTTATCATCAACAATTTGTCACTAAAGTTGCTGAGATCATGGATGGATCAGTGTTAGATCAACATTGAAAACCTGAAGGTACTGGACCGCCGTTTCCTCCTAGTATAGGAGTCTTCATCAGTGTACATCCATGATCCAACGTGTGGAATTTGAACCCAGGAACTTTGGTAACATACATGAACTCTTAACCCAGTGGTGCCAATGCCTAGATTCAATCAGTGGATGATGGGTTGTACAAGATCACGGATTGGTTTCAGTTAGACATTGACACCATTGAATGCTGGCTCTATAATTTAGGGGTTCTGAGTTCGAATTTCATATACAGGTACCATGTTCGATTTCCATTGTGAGCATTACCACTAGAATGCAAGCACATCCAGGTGACGAGTCCTGTATGAGACGAAACGTATTTTCTACATTTCATTGGTATTCACATTTTACCTATTTTGTGTGAACATGTGTTTGATAATCTTTATAAGTAAAAATGGATAGTGGCTTGCAGTTGAATCCATCTGACGAGTCCCAGATAGGACGAAAGGTTCGTCAAACTGAATTCCACTACTAGACACCATCCATCTTTGCTTAGAATACTTGTGAATTAAGGCAATATAGAGGCAATCCGTACATCATGCACATATGCCAATAAGAGACTCATCAATTGCAATCCTAAACATCAATGCAAAGATACAAGTAAAACAACACCAAATGAATTGTGTTTCACAATGTTCGAGATTTATTATTAAGGTAATTCTTTTCAAAATCTTTATGAAATCCAAACACACACCATATCAGTCACATACAATAATTGAATCTAATAATCTAACATGGATTTATATTTATTATTTAAACATTATAAATGTTTATCTTCTAAGTTCATGCATCACATAGCCACGTGTAAACAACCGCTGACTGGGAAATCTTACACACTGCCTTTCTCGTCAATATGTTGTTTGAGAAACTAAGACAATGAAAAGCGAGTGTTTGGATCCTAAAGAGGGTTGTTAGATATGAAGGTGGAAAAAACCCTAATTCCAAACCAATGGTAAACATCGGCTTCAGGATTCTGAAGGAAAAAACGGCGTATGAACCAATTGTTCGTCAACGGGTACCATGGGACTGCATTTCATGACGTTGCTCTACTGTCTTGTTGATTAGACTTTTACATTTATTTATTTAAACGCATCAATATTGGTACAAGGAGGCACCAAAAAGATGTGTGCCACATAAATCATTCGATTTGTGTGAGAGCTGTAATACTGCCTGGGTGCCCAAGCCGAAGCAGGTGGTCTTCATAGAGGGCCCCATCCGGAGCATTTGACCTAAATTTCTGATCCACAAGGCAGTAGAGCAACATCAGGAGATACAGTTCTGTGGCAGCCAGTGACTAACAATAGGTTCATACGCCATTTGTTTTCTTAGAATCCTGGAGCTAATGTACACTATAGGTTTGGACTGAGGATTTTCCAACTCCCCTAGATGGATCTTCTATATCTACCAACCTGATTAAAGCACCGGACATTCAGTTTTCATCCTGTCAATTTCGTAAACAATACCACAGCAGTGAGACATCAGTAAGTATTACTTCTCCGGTAGTGGTTGTATACGCGCGTAAGAGTATTTGAAGAGGGATACCGGATTCTCACCACCGTCGACCGTACCAGGCCATTCGGGGGCGAGCTTTCCATTGAAGGCTCGGTGTGTGGCTTTAAGTCAACCACCTACTTCGATCTTGCCACCCTGGCAGTATCACAGCTCATACACAAATCAACTACATTATTTAGTACATATGTATTCGATGCCCTCTTTAGATCAATATTTCTTCATTCAATGATATCAACATTCATATAATTGATTTCCATTCTCTTTTATTCAAAGGTTCAATATGGTATACTCTATCAACAGAAAGCATTTTTACAAATTTATAATCGTACAGCCTATGATTTAATTAAAAATTTATCTAAAGAATTATATCAAGCTAAATTATTAACAAAATTTACTATTCAATCTATTTGGAACTTATACAAGTACTTGAAATATTTCAATCCAATCAAATCCATTCATAATACGATTAATTATAATCATCATCATTATTGTTATACTAAAGTATATCAATTATTCATTTCAATTAGTAAAGATATTTTATCAAGGAATACTTTATCGAATATTGATCCAGATCCAGATCAAGATCAAGATGATGATGATCATTATCATCATGAAGAAAATCAATATTTTATGAATAATCATACATTAGATCATATTGAATTACAATTAATTAATAGTTTTTTTGAAACAAAAGTAATTGTATCACCAAGTTCATCATTATTACGTAAGATATTAACAGTGGTAAGTTGATTGATATTATCTATATATATATAAATGTGCATGTGTGTGTTGAATATGCCTGAGCATCGATTACCATAACGTGCAATGTTGACCAGCGTTGGGAATGGATGGAAGAAAGTTAGGGACGATCAAACTAAAACGTGGCATCAGTCCTTGAAGTCATTAACTTCTAGTCTGATTCATGTTGGTAGATGCAAACTACTCGGTTTGGGGTTCGCATGACTATCGTAATCAATGGTTGGAGATTATGTGTGACATGGCTCAGAATCGATCACAATGACGTCCATGTATACACTCTCTATCTCCCCTCAAACCATGAGATTAAAATCGCTTCATATCTTTCCTTCTACGAACTAATTTTTTCTTACTGTACTGTTTCCTGATATACAATCTTTCTTTTAAATATTACTACCATTGAATCTATTACTTCTATGAATCCAGTGTTCATGTCATTGTGCCAATGTGGTATAGCCACTTGAACCGATACATATATATGCCTAGTCCTACATTATAACTGACTGACTGAGAATAAAAACACTAGTAAGGAATCTTGTGTAAATATTCACTTGATATAAATTAATGTTCTATTTGTGTAAACATGAAAAACCGAGCTACCTCAAAATAGATTATGTAATATCATCTAGGCAACAATTTTTTTAATTTTAAATTGCATTACAAGTAAGTTCATTTATTTTTTCATTGACATCATGAACCGATTGATGTTAGACCACCATTGAAAACTTGGAAGCACTGGACGGCCGTTTCGTCCTATTGTAGGACTCCTCAGTGGGAAGTGCGCATCCACGATCCCGCTCTCGGGATTCGAACCCAGGGCATTCAGTCTCGCACGCAAACGCTAAACCTACTGAACCACTGAACCGTCTAGTGTTTCCAGGTTTTCAATGGTGGTCTAACATCAATCGATTCATGATCTCAATCAAAAACTTAACAATCTCCAAAACCACTATACTGTTAAGTTCATTTATGTTTTCCCCCATAGTAACAATCTTCTTTATATTATATTATATAGGTTATGAAATTTCGTTATCTTCTATCAAATTATAGTAATTTATCATCTACAATTATATCTAATAAGAATAAATCATCTATGCTCAATATTAATTCATTTATGGATAATACTACTCAATTTATATTACAATTTAATGTTATGAATTGTAGTCATTTAATTACATATTATAATGAACAAATTAATAAATGTGGTGAAACAGCTAGTGGTGCATTAACAAGATTAGATCATGTTAATTTACAATTACATAATTTAATTAAAAATAATCATTTTATACGTTTAATATATCCAAAACATTCTTATCCTTATACAGAATTATCTATATCAAAGTAAGTTTTACATTTGTTTTTTGGTTGTTAATTGAGATCATTAACCGATTGATGTTAGACCATCGTTAAAAACGTTGAAGCACTGGATGGCTGTTTCGTCCTATTGTCGGACTACTCAGCAGCGTGCATCCACGATCCTGTGTCGGGTAGAGATAAGTATCTACCTCAGTACAATGGTAGATGTTCGCGCAACTTCGTGAATTGGTTGAGTTTAGACATTAAAAGCATTGTATGCTGGCTCACTGATCCAGTAGATTAAACGTCCGCGTGCGAGACTGAAAGCCTTGGGTTCGAATTCCGAGAGCAAGATCGTGGTTGCGCACTGTTACTGAGGAGTCCCATAATAGAACGAAACGGCTGTTCACTGTTTTCAGGTTTTCAATGGTGACCTAACATCAATCGGTTGATGATCTCAATCAAAAACTTAATAATCTCCACAACCTCTACAATTATTTTTTTAACTAAATGAAAAGGTTGATGTTTAAGACTATGGGTTATATTGGTTATATGATGGGTACCTAGATTATTGTATGGTCGGATAGTGTTCTTTGGACTTTTTGGTTGTCTACTCTGTCATGGGTAGGTGATAGGACAATGAATGATACTATTCTTTTGTGCTAGGGTTAGAAGAGAACTGTATACTATATTCATGCGAATCTGCCTTGCTGTTGTTCTTATTTAGACCATCAAATCCCCTCATACGGCCAAGGGTCGGGAGAGAGTCCGTTCTCCTTCTCCAAATGCTCTTACATGGTCACGCGTATACGGCCACTACCAGGGAAGTTCTACTCACTTACTTCTCGCGGCCGCGGTAGATATGGACGATCAATCTACGCGAGTTTGACAACCCTGATTTCCAGACCAGCGGCGCTTATGTGCTCAATCAGTCAGTTACAATGTACGACCAAGCACATACATGCATCGGTTCAAATCGCCATACCTCATTAGCACAACAACATGAACAACGAATTCATAGAAGCAGTCAATTCAGTGGTGTAATAAATAAAGGAAAGATTTTATGTAAAGATATAGTACCTCTTGAAGTCAGTCACTAGTGAACACATGATGATTGTTATCAGAAAAACTTTTTTATGAAGATTATAGTAATTTAATAGTTTAATTCATGAGTCAATTAATGCTAGATCATCATGAGAAAACTAGAAGTATTGGACGACTAGACTGAAGGTTCTAGATTCAAATCCCTTATACGGGATCGTGGATGCACACTACTGAAGAGTCTCATACTAAGACGAAACAGTCATCAAACAGTGTTACCAGGTTTTTCATGATAGTCTAACTTTAATTGACTCATGATCTCAACTACTGAAATTAATATTGATTCTTTTTTTGTTTTTTGTTTTTCAGTATGGTCAGTTTGAGTATCAGATTGTCCAAATTCAATGTTCCAACATTTCATGAAAGTTCAACATTCCATATAGATATTTACTTAAAAAGTAAGTTGCTTTTATAATGAAAATAAAGTAATTTCTCATGTTGAATGGGTGGCAGATAACCACTGAAGATAATAATTGACTTGTAATTACCATCTCAGTAGTCTAAATATCAGGAGCTGGATATGAGACCTGAAGGTATTAGGTTCAATGTATGGTTGGGTAGTGGATACACATTGCTAAGAAGTTTCATACCAAAACAAAACAGCTGTATAGTTCTACTTAGTTTTCAATGTTTGACTAAATGAGATCCGTTATGATTTAAGAAATGATTCTAGGAAATGCAAGGCCATACAAGGCCACTACTGAAACTTTCAACCTAAATGTTTAATCAACAAGACAGTAGAGTAACGTCAGAAGATACAGTCTCATGATAACCGAAGATCAAGAATTGTTTCATACACCATTTATTCCTTCAGGATCCTGATGTTCATGTAAACCATTGGTTTGAAATCAGAATTCTCCAACTCCCCTTAGGTGTATCCTCCATATCCACCAACCCGGTCAAAGCGCCGAATCTTTTCAATTACTCTAACAATATCTCCTTCACAAGAAGGTAGTGAAAAGAACTTTATATATTTCAATAAATTCTATGATTTATTATTTCAATATTCTTCTTCTTTTTTTCATTTATATTAATTTTGTTTTATTAAATTCAATGTACAATAAATTGTTATGCTACTGATTAGCTTTTAATCTCTTTTTCTTATAATAAATAAAACAAAACAAAACAAAATTCAAATTGTATCCAAGTTGTAAAAAAAAGAAGAAAAAGAAAAAAGAGAAAAAAGTGGCGGTTTTTTCTTATTTGAAGTTTGTTTCTAACGAAAAATAAAATAAAAATAAAATAAAACGTTTTATTGTTTAGAAACCTGTCTATTAAATAGTGTGTGTGTATGGGGGGGTGTATGTATATACATAATAATAATAATAATAATAATAATAATAATAATAATAATAATAATAATAATAATAATAATAATAATAATAATAATAATAATAATAATAATAATAATAATAATAATAATAATAATAATAATAATAATAATAATAATGATAAAGGTTTGTATTAATGAACTAATTACATTGATTGATCATTGAATAACAAATAGTAATTGATAGTTTATTTATTTAGTTTCATTTCAATAGTGATTTAATTGTATAGAATATATTTAAATATTATAACTTTGAGTTGAAAATATAAATTGATCAAGATCATAAATCGATTGATTGATATTAGATCATTATTGATCAATTTGAAAGTATGGTTTGACGGCCATTTCTTCCTCAACAGTGTTAGATAGTAATTCATGGTATCGTAATTTCGTGGATTGGTTGAGGTTAGACATTAACACCATCGGATGCCGACTCAGTGGTTTAGTAGGTTAAGTGTTTGCACTTGAGACTGATAGGTGTTGTGTTCGAATCTCGCGAGGGATGGGGTCTTGGATGCGCACTCCAACTGAGGAGTCTCACAGTAGGACTAAATGACGCTCTAGTGCTTCCAGGTTTTCAATGGTGGTCTAAAATCAATCGCTTCCTGATCTCAAACAATAACTTAATAATCTTCACAAACCTATACTAAAGTGTAAATTCACTTGATATTGTTGTTTACTTGAATTTTATCGATGATGTTTTTAAGACTGAAACTGATTAGTCTCTTGCTGGCATGTGTGCATCTTGCCTTGATATTATCTTAATTCACAAGCATTCTAAGCAAAGATGGACTCAGTAGCTAAGTGGATTACGTATTGGTATTTGAAGTGGACATTATTTGGTTCGAGTTCTAGAATGAATATCAACTATGAAATGCAAGTAAATCCAGCTGACAAGTTCCAAATAGGACGAAGCGCACGTCCTGGATTCCGCTATTAATCACTATCCATCTTCGTATATAATACTTGTAAATTAAGGCAATATATAGGCAATACGCACAATATGCACATATATCAACAAGAGACTGATCACTAGCAGTCCTAACACATCAATAGAAAGATTCAACTAAACAATACCAAGTGAATTCATCTTCATCTTGCTATTACATTCTCCAACTGTTATTGATTATTCACAATCATCTGATGTAATACATAATCATAATAAGCTAATTAATTGATTAATTAGAAGGATTGAAAAGACGGATACGTTCAACTATACTCAACTATTAATAATAATTATAATAATCAATTATTGAGCTCTCACTGATCTTCCATCCTTCCTCCCTCCCTCTCTCTCTCTCACACACACACGGTCTCGTTGTATCTATGTTCCTTTGTCTTATTCTTTATAGATAATATGATTATTGATAAATACATAATAAATGAGTTCTAATTTGACATAAAAGTCATGTTAATTGACTTATGAATATGATTTGTTGTTATGTAATGAATAAATAAACAATCTAGTGAATAGGATATTTGATTTACAATATGAATTCTGTTTATATACTTATATTTATATGAAATCAAAAGTTAGAATCATGAGTCGATCTAAATTATAGTACCATTGAAAACGTGGTAGAAGCATTAGACGGTTGTTTTGTCCTGGTATGAAATTCTTTTGTGGTGTGTATCCACAATCCTAGAAACTTTGGTTTTGTACATGAATCCTTAACTCTTAGACCACTGATCTGTCATTCAAAGATGTTAATGTCTAACTATAACGAATGAATGAAGGATAGTACAAGATTATGAATTAATTAAATTTAGATATTAACACTGTTGGATACCAGATCAGTGTTTTAGATTTTATGCATTTTCGCATAAGATTAAAATTTCTGAGTTAGATTCCTGATTGTAAGATCGTGGATGCGCATCACCGAGGAGCCCAATACTGGAACAAAATGGTCATTTAGTTCTTTCAGGTTTTCAATGGTATTCTAGCTTAAGTTGATTCATTATTTATACTATGAACATACTATAATCTTTACAAATCCGTATACTGATAACACAAATGTAAACTGAACGTTAAGACTGTTGATGAACTAAGTATTCTGACAGAAATACTTTTGTGTGTATTGTTGTGTAGATTGATTAGTGGTATGGATGTTAAACTTTTGAACATTACTCAAGACCATTTTGTATTACTTCTATCTGTTAAATCTTGATGAGAATGATGAATGGTAATTGTTGAGATCTATTTCTGGACTAATACTATACATATATTTCTTATTGTATAATTATTAGATAGCTAAATTGTGTCTATTCATATTCCTCTTATTATAAGCTTTATTTTAACCCATAGATCATTAATATATGATTTACCGTTCTTGAGTTATGACTGATCTATTCATTACAGTCTCTCTCATATTCACAGCTACTTTTGGTTAAATCTTGTACAAATGTTATTTTCCACTTTGCGCTACGATGTGATCTGTTTGGTTTGTATATAAACCCAGTCTGTTTGAAATATAACGATTCATATCGCAGAGAGTGCGATGGGGTGTTCTGGACTCAACAGGTAGGAAGAACGACCGATAAGAACTCTGAACTGTTCATATGGGTTTATGCGTCATTAGTCCGGTCGATAAGTCACTGTTCTCTAATTGGTAGTATCATTACACTATATGTTAATAGAGCACAAGGCCATAAGTTATAACACTAAGATTTTAACGTCTCCTATTCCCTAAATGAAATTGTGTCCGCTTTATTCTATCTACTGTCTTTTACAGTTACTTCAGCTAATCATATAGAATATAATCAGTGTGTCATAATGCTCTATCATCACTTTCTTTAGATTACAAATTATATATTGAAGAAGTCTTGAAGGGTTATCAACGAATTGTAGTACTTTAAGTCTTAAGTAATCTGATTTTCATCTTTGAGATGTTTTTTTTCATATAGAGTGAAACTATCATTATTCTGAGAATGAGTTGTATTCTCCCGATTACCTGTCAACCGACGACTGCAAGAGTCTTCCTCATGAGTAAGACTCATCAACCCATGTTTATGATCAAATAATCATTCAGATATCTTATAACAGCTTTTTTATCAGTCGAACAAATATGAATAATTTATAAATACAATCAACAAACTGTTTATAGTACTAAATGACAATTTATTATGGAATCAAGCTTCATTTTGCTCAAGTTGTCGGTCGCTGAACGTTATGACAGGATGACTGTTGTAAACGTTGGAACTTTTGGTACTGGTTCTCGAATTATTATTATTATTGTTGTTGCTATTTATATTTCCATTCAGGGGGGTGAATGTTGTATTTGTAAGAGCCCAGAGAATGAATTTGAAGTAAACCCCAAGTTTCCCTTGGTAATCTGGTTCAAATTATTTCGATATTTGATTCTATGTTTCCTTGAAAAAGGTTGAATCAGATTGTCAAGAAAAGCTATGGATTTACTTGAAATTCATTCTTTGAAATTTCACATATACAACATTCTTCCCTACCTCCCTTGTTATCTTACATCAATTTGGTGCGCCAAATACTGTGAAACTATTCGATTAAATTTAGACGAAAGTTCTTTTATATATTTTTTTCGTTGTATCATTTCGATAGTAACTGGATCAATGTCTTTATACATTTTGTTTGTTAAAGGCTTTTTGCCCCAACGTGCAATGTTTTATGATGTATGAGTAGGTGGCCAGAATCTCTTAGGAAAATCAGAGAATCATACAGTAAATACTTCATTTGTAAAATGCCAATCAAATATCTTAAACTTAACTATTCCTTCATTTTCACATTAATCACTCTCTATTGTCATGCTCTTTTCTTTCATTTTTTTTAACCTTCTGCCACCAGACATTTGAGTTTCGATTGATGATACACATACTACTTATATCTGTCGATATCAGTAGTATACACCATGATAATTAAATAAATATGTAACAATCAGTTTAGGGGTTATGGAGATTATTAAGTTTTTGATTGAGATCATGAACCAATTGATGTTAGATCACCATCGAAAACCTGGAAGCACTGGACGGCCGTTCCGTCCTATTGTATGACTCCTCAACAATGCACATCTACGATCCTGCTCGGAGGATTCGAACTCAGTGCCTTCAGTCTCGCGTGTGAATGCTTAATCTACTGGAGCCAGCCGGCATCCAATAGTGTTAATGTCTAACCTCAACCAATCCACGAAGTTTCCCTCCAGTGCTTCCAGGTTTTCAATGATGATTTAACATCAATCGACTCATGATCTCAATCACAAAAAATATGTAACATCTTCACTTTAAAAAAATAGAACTTTCATTGTTGTTTCCTTTATATTTTTTTGTTCGTTTACAGATTTACTACTTACAATATTTATAAGTATATTCACTTTATATTTAACTTTATTTATTATCATCGAATATTGTTCATTTAAACAAACCACCAAATTAACCAATCAAATTTGTTCAAAATGTCAATCAACCAATCAAAATGTATATCATCCTCATCCTCATTATCATCATGATAATGAAGAGGATGATTCATGTAATCTATTATCAATACAACAATATAATCAGTTGACATCATTTGAAACACTGCCACCCAATAATAATAATAATGATAATGATAATAATAATAATAGTGATGGTTACTACCCGAGATGTTCACAGAGATACCATGATAGCAACAAAAAGAATTTTACTTACTCAAAATATGGTAATCACGATCTAGACGAAGCTTTTAGTAATAATAATGGGTTGAGTTCATTTATCCCTCATAAATTAGAACATCATCCAACATCTCTATTGCATACATCAAATGTTATGTATAAATGTGATAATTTATGTCGAACTAAAGCATATTTACATGATGAAAACATTGATGATAATGAAGATGGTGATAGGAATACAATTTGTATTCCAACACGTAAGTGTGTGTGTACATGTGTTTCATTTTGTAATGGTAGAATTCATAAGACAAGTGAAGCTAGATCACTATGAAGAAGCTGGAAGTACTGTTTGGCGGTCGTATTGTTCCACTGCAGGATTTCTCAACAGTGTGGATTCATCATTCTGCCTGGATACATTTGAACACAGGACTTATCCGTTTCATGAGTGAACGCTTAACCTCTAGATCACTGATCTGGTGTTAATGTCTAACTTCAACTAATCCACGAGATTAATCGACACATCCACCATTGTCTTCAATAAGTTACTATCTCACAACAGACCCGATTGAACTCCACTGATCACTGCTTCTCACTGGAACTCCAGGAAATACCACTTGAAGTCAGTCACTAGTGAGCATATGTTGATTAATATCTGAAGGGGTTTTAATGGATATTATATTAATTTCAATAGTTGAGATAATAAGTCATTTGAAACTAGATCACCATGGAAAAGCTGGAAGTACTGTTTGACAGCCGTATCGTCCTATTGTGCGATTCCTCAACAGTGTGTATCCATGATCCTGCCTGGCGAGATTCGAACCTAGAACCTATCAATCCCACGCGCGAACGCTTAACCTCTAAACCATTGAGCTAGCCAGAATCCAACGGCGTTAATGTTTAACTTCAATTGAAGTATAAAAATGAAATGACGACAAGTATTTGACAATATTGTACGAAAGCACATTAATTACAGTGAATTGTTCAATGTGTAGTTGAATAACTTTGTTATGACTTTCATGTACAATAAACCACATGATCTATAGGCTAGATTAATAGAATATATTGATTTAAGACTAAACGATCAGTAATTGATACAATCAAATACACGTTACTGATCAATATTTAACTTGACTTTTTATAGAGCATATATATGTATTATTGGTTATGAATTCAGCTCAATTTTCTGGGGGACATAAATTAATGAAGAAGCTTCTGCGTATCTAATCGATGACCTTTTTTTCAAGAATTCCCCTATCAGTCCTCCACTCTGTATACAGGGGGTTATTAGCATTGTCCAATCGGGAAGCTACACGTAGGGATTCCACAATATTCTTTCAAAAGGTGATTGCATGGAATATCTTCAACTCTTTCTGAGCTTCTTACAGCTTCCTTGAGTTCACTCGTGGTCCGTCCTCATATAAACACAATCTCATCAAATATGGTACAGAGCTAAACAGACCTTACATAATTATTTCTAATAACTAAAGGATAATAAAACATACAATGAAAGTTGATAGATTCATTGAAAATTAACGGTAAGAGAAAATGTATTTATACAGTTATCTATTAGTGAAGCAATAAAGATATAGGCAATAATAATAATCCGATTAATAGCTCTAAAAGTCTCAACTATCCCTATTTTCATCCCGTTATAACATCTTTTACAATCATATGATATGTTTATAAAAGATACTCTGATAATATACTTTGATATGTTCAGAAAGTGTAATACACGCCCTAGTACGGTGGAGGGTGAAAAGAGTCCGTTCTCCCTATCTAAATTCTCTCACATGACCACACATATACAGTCACTTACAGGGAAGTAATACTCACTGACCTCTCGTGGCATTACTGTTGTTTACGAAATTGAAAGGACAAAAAGCGAGTGGCCGACACTTCGACCTAGGGGAGTTGGAAAATCCTCATTCCAAACCAATGGTATACATGGGTTCCAGGATCCTGAAGGAACAAATGGAGTATGAATCTATTGTTGGTCATCGACTACCATATTATTTCATTTCCTTACGTTGTTCTACTATGTTGTGGATCAGATCGTTAGGTTGAATGCTCTGGTTGTGGCTCCCTAATAAGATCACTTGCTTCGGTCTGGGAACCCGGGCAGTATCATAGCTCACACACAAGTCACGTACATTGTGTGGCGCATATATATTCGGTATCCTCTGTATCAATATTTATATGTTCAAATGAATATATAAATAAGTAGTAACACTTAGGGTTACTTTTCAGTAGAATAAATAATAAAAAACAAAACAAACCTCATAAAGCTTATAACCTACATAAATATCTGAAGGCCCTAGATTCGAATCGCGCGAGCGAAATCGTCAATACACACTGTTGAGAAGCACCATAATAGGATGAAACAGACGTCAAACACTGTATCCAGATTTTCAATGATAGTCTAACATTAATCAGTTCATGATTTCAAACAAAAACTTAATAATCTCCACAACCCCTATACTGATGAATATCGATTATTTGTTATTCAATACATACCCTTCTACTTCTCTCCCTTTATTTATTTCAACACATAAATATTGATACAAGAGGGCACCAAGTATATATGCGCCACACCATATTTGAGTGTGTGGGCTGTGATACTGCTCGGGTGCCCAGCCCGAAGCAGGTGATTATCTTAGGGGGCCACACCCCGAGCCTTCGACCTGAAGGTCTGATCCACAAGGCAGTGGAGCATCGTGGGGAGATGCATTACTATGGTAGCCGGTGACCAACAATTGGTTCATACGCCATTCGTTCCCGCAGGATACTGGAGCCCATGTGCATCATTGGTTTGGATCCGGTCAAAGCGCCGGACATTCGCTTTTCATCCTCTCATTTTCGTAAACAACACCCCTGCCACGGGAAGGCAGTGAGTAGGACTTCCCTGGCAGAGGCTGTATACGCGTGGCCATGTGAGAGCATTTCGAGAGGGAGGGCGGGCCCACCCCATTCTCCGCCATACCAGGGCATTTGGGGGCACTCTCTCTCCATATATATATATATATATATATATACTACAGTTAACCTATTTATTTCAATTTATGATTATTTTAGATGTACATAGTTTATCTTTACCAAGAATCGAAACATTCAATGATGAAAATATGAATAAAACAATTTTAATCACACCGAAATTAATTAATACCCCATATTCTTGTTGTACTTCTTCAACAACCTCATCATCCAAGTATAATTTACATTCATCATATTGTAAATAGACTATTCAATAATTCATTTATGTGAATTAATAATTATAATAATAATACGAATGACATTTGATTATTTATAACTCAGGTTACTAAATGATTAACTTGTCTTCTTACTTCTTTTTACCCTTGTACAATATTATATTGATGTATTGAAAATAAAATAAAATAATTCTAATATTGAAACAGGGTGTAATTTGTTTCTGAGAAATAAATCTATAGGGTGGGGTGGAGGGGGTAATTGTTTCGTCTGAGTTTCAGTGATTAATGAGTATATATGTTTTAAGTGATTTCATGAATCTTCAACAAACAAATAATTATTTCAATGGTTCAAAACATGATTCAATTGAAGGTAGAGTACCATGGAAAACCTAGAAGCACTGGATGGTCGTTTCGTCCTATTGTGGGACTCCTAAGAAGTGTGAATCCACGATCCCGCCCCCCTCTCACCCGGCTAGATTCGAACCGAGGACCTATCAGTCTCATGCGCGAGCGCTTAATTATCAGACCACTGAGCTGGCCAGCATCCGACGGTGTTAATATCTAACTTTAACCAAGCCATGAAACCACCACCGTACACCATTATCTTCAGTGAACTGTTATCTCACAACAGATCTGATAGGACTTCATTGATCATTTATTTTAAAAAAGATGAACTACTTATTAGTAATATATTTCTTATTATGCAATTTTGATGTTATTGTATTTTAAGTAGAAAGATATTAAACAGTATTTACAATTGATTAATCATGTCAGGTCCTTCCTAGTGAAGATCGAATCTTATCAGCCAAGTCGCAATGTGGCCACCAGTCTAGTTGACTCGAAATTGCATGTATTATGTTGAGATACGCTAGTGGTTAGAGGTAGTCAACAGGAAACCCTGAACTCAGGTTGCATGCTAATTAGCACTAGTCAACAAGGTGTACCTGTTATCTTCAGGGAGCTGATGCTTACTGACGGATTCATTCTATACAAATTTGGAACAATTGTGTTAGGTTTGTTAAGCTTGAATGCTACTACTGGTTCGGCTTATTCTGAACGGAACGAAGGATCAAGAATTCAGAGACTCGATAGGCTATTCTGGTCCGTTGTCCCCGACTCAGCTGTATACTGGAAGGAATCATCCGAACATGTTGAGAGAAGCACTTCGTTTTTCGCTTCTCCTTCTCCTGTTGTGTCACATAACTACGCGGAAATCGTGCTTTGGGTTTCTCCGCTACTTTTTCTGGTTTAAGAGTCCTTAATCTAGGCAATGGGTCTTTTCCCTCCTTCTTACGACGTTGATCTACTTTGGCTATAAACTTTTGATGGTGATACTGACGCTTGGCTGACACCCGTTTTCGCGGAGAAACAAATTGGCACTCGACTCCAACAACGATAAAACTCATAATTTCTAATATAAAAGCGACCATGTTATTCAATTCAGATTATTGAGCTAGCATCTAATAGTTCATATCTTTAACTTGAGTTTTATGTAAAGTATGATTGAACTTAGGTGGCTAGAAGTTTGAAAACTACCCTTTAAAAGAATAACCATCCAAATAGTTATTATATCTGTTTGTATTTATCATCATAGACTACATTATTTATTTATTTGAACATATAAATATTGGTACAAGGGGCACCAAATACATATGCACCACATAAATCACTTGATTTGTGTGTGGGCTGTGATACTGGCCGGGTTCCCAGATCGATGCGCATAGTTTATTTGAGGAGCCACAACCGGAGCCTTTGAACTAATGGTTTGATCGGCGAGGAAGTGGAGCAACATCAGAAGATGCATTCACATGGTAGACGGTGACCAACAATAGGTTCATACACCATTTGTTCTTTCGGGATACTAGAGTCCATGTACACAATTAGTTTGAAATGAAGGTTTTCAAACTTCATATCCACTGTTGGGGTGATCCAGAAAATTGCCTGCAAAAGACAAACAAGCACCAGGAAACACTAAGAAGCGTTTCGTCCAATCAGCGTTCACTTGGAGTCTCGGCCAGAAATATCAAGGAAGCGAAACATCACATGCAGAGGCTCTGATTGGTTAACTGCTACACTGCACTATGTTTAGTAGCATTCCAGAATATTCCAGTGACCCAAGGACATTTAAAATATAAAAACCCTATATTTTCTGTAATAAAATGAACCTTGGAGTAAACTACTTCTCGCATACTTTGAGTCTTCTCTCTCATGTTCAAGTCGCTGTATAGTTCTAGCTTGGGGGTTACAGAATAGCTTAGGAGACGAATATAGCGTTCAAATCCGCAAAACTTATCATCCACCAACCCAGTTTAATCGCCAAGCATTCGCTTCACAACCTCTCAGTTTCGTAAACAACAGTGAAGCTATGAGAACGCAGTTAGTAGGACTTCTCTGGTAGTGGATATATATTTCTGGCCATGTGAGAGTATTTGGAGTGGGAGAGCTAACTCTCCCCACTCTAAGCCATGCCACGGCATTTGAGAACTGAAAAAAATCAAACCAACTTACAGTATTTATGTTGAGATCTTGCCAGTCACATCCTTACTAAGGCTAAAGGAATTTCCAAAGTATAAGTAATTAGATGAATACTTAAAAAATACTCCTCCTGGAGCCTCTATGAGGCTACTACCCGTCTCAAGCCTAGACAAGCAATAAGAAGTAGGCATGGAGTTAGCCACCCCATCCCATACAATTACCTATCACAGGTAATTGAAGATGATCGTGTAATATCGTAAATTGATTAGGGTAAGTAAGATATGAATACAATATTGAATAGTCACTCAACGGTTTAGAGATTAGGTGTTCTATTCGAGACCTAAACTTTTGAATTTGGTTCACTATAATGATATCGTGCTTATTCACTGATGAAGAATCTCATTTCAGAATGGAACAGTTATTCAATGATTTCGAATTTTTATTGGTTATTTATCTAAGATCAGTTCGTAAATTAAACAATGAAAACTCCATAATCTCTTTTAAACCCAATACTTAAAGCATAGATTTGTTGAAATGTTATTGAGTGTAAATATCACAATATTATCATCAGAGATGATGATGATGGATAGTAGTGGGATCCAAGGCTCTATTTCGTCCTATTTAGGACTCGTCAGCTAGATGTACCCGCATCCCTCAGTTCATGTTCACTCGTACACTCGAACCTAGTACTATTCATTTCAGGCAGCACTACGTTATCCACTCTATTACTGAGTCCAGATTGCCACTAGCTTAGGTAATGAGATAAAGTTTAATTGATTGTTGTATTGATTATTTGAATTATCCCATTGATGTTTAGGACTACAATTGGATAACGTGATGGAGTTTGTACCGAACGGTACTGGGTTCAAGTCCTGGAGTAGATTTAAATAATCAAGAAAAATGAACTACAATATCATGTTTAAGTAGGTCAACTTTGAATAATTCACCCTTTTGATTGATTAAACTAATGGTGAAGTTTGATTTACTGTTACGTGTAGTTGATTCTATGAAATTCAGTATTGATTACCTGATTTAAACATGTATCACTCTGATCAATCAATTAACTAATTAAGATTGTAAGAATGTTATGTCTTACAAAATTACATTGATCTAACTTATTTTCGTTTGTTACTATACAAGTAACCACCTCAGTTTCAATTGTGCAAAATTGTTATAACTTGTGACCTGTTTGTCCCTGTTTATTGTATAACATAATAATACCGCTAATTAATGAACAGTGAATTATCGATCGGATCAATGACACATAAAACATGTACGAGGAGTCTTTATTGGCCCTACTTCCTGTCTAACCCAGTCAGTTAAGCCCAGAACACCAATCTCAGCCGCTGTGATACGAGTCATTTATTTCAAACATACTGAGTTTATATTACCAACCAGATAGACCATATCGTACCATAAAATAAGAAACAACATTTGTACAAGATTTGGCCAAATGTGGCTGTGAATGAGGGAGGTAGTAATTGATAGACTGGGCATAACTCAACAATGGTAAATCGTATAATAATAGTTCATAGGTCAAAATAAAGCTTATAATAAGAGGGATATGAATATGAATAGTTTAGTTATTTAACAATTATACGATAAAAGTATACGTACAGCATTGGTCCATAAATGGATCCTAAACGTTACCATTCATTATGCTTATCGGGGCATAACAAAAACATATTCCCATGGAAGTCTCCAGCAGTTGAGCGTTTTGACTACCTTATCGTTACATGTTTAATTGTCTCTGTATGACCATATTTTTTTATTTCGGGATATAAAATATTCATGACAAGATGTATCTAGTAAGTAGGGTAGGTTATCTGGTACTCTCGGCCATACCATGGCATTTGGGGGCACCTCCTTACATTGCTCTACTGTCTTGTGGATTAGACCTTCAGGTTGAAGACTCCGGTTGTGGCCTCCTAATTAATAAAATATTAACTCATTAAAAAGTTTGAGTTAATAATTTGGGATCATAAGCTGTCAACCACTCGCCCATATTGTATTATTTGTGTTCACTTACCAATCAATAAACTATTCATTCATTTTAGGAATTCTCAGATATTACATTATTTATCAAATCATAAACCATTATACAATAACAGAATGGTGCACTTTCCGATAAAAATATCTACGATTAAATATTTGTAGTTAACTTATATCTAATTTTATTGATTATGTCTTATAGTCAAATAATAATACAGAATGGGATAACATAGACTTTATTATTGTATTTTTATCTTAATAATGAGTTTATTAAGTACCAATTATATTTTCTTGACTCATTATCGCTAATCATTAGTTTACTTTTGAACTCAATACACTGAACTAAGTATCTCATGTACATTCATAATAATCGTTATCTATAAAAAGAAACATATATAATTATGTATACACTGACATTTCATTTACATTCAATAATCTATTTCCGTAATGTCCATCGTAAATCACATACTGTCGCAATAAGTTGCATCTTCAAACCCCTACTAACCTAATTTGGTTTGGGCAAACAAGTTAGGATTGCTAACCCTCATACAACTAATGTGGCTCATGGCTGAATGCGAAAACATGTACTTTTTAAATGAATTACCCGTATATTACTCGTGGAACGGGTGTTGTTTACAAAATCGAGAGGACGGGAAGCGAATATCCGGCGCTTAAACTATGTTGGTGAGTACGGAGAATCCATATAGGGGAGTTGTAAAACCCTGACTCTAAACCAATGGTGAATATGGGCACCAAAGGTAATAAATAGCGTATGAACCAATTCTTGATCACTGACCTCTTAAGCAAACCTCGTGCTTCAGTTTGGGCACCCGGATAGTATTCCAACCCATACACTGACTCAATGATTTGTGTGGCACACATATGTTTTGATGTTTATTTGTGCCTATATTTGTGTTTAAATAAAATAAGTAAGGAGTACTGTGTCAATGTCACTAAAACGAAACGGAGTAAATTTTGGAAACTCTTTCGTAGCAGGATTTCAGAAGAAATATGTGAACCATGGTAAAAACCTCAAAATCTACATAAGACAACTATGTTTTTAATAATGCACCACATACTTAATTGATACTTGAGCAGACTTAATGAAGTAAAATCTGGACAAATCATTTTATGAAAATCTCAATTACTTGACTATATTTTTAATCCGGTAACAAAAGTGACATTCTATTTTTATAGGATAAATGATTGGTACAAGAACACTTCCATTAGCATTGCAAAGTGAAATAATAGAAATTTGGAAACAATCAAGTAAAAACTACCAGTTTAAATAATTTGCAAACAATATAAAACCTGACATGAATAAGTATCCACCTAAGTAGTCATATTTCACAATAAACCACTAAAAATGAATCAAACAGACAATGAATTTAGTAAAAACGATGGTGCTGACAGGAATAGGGAACTAAGGAAAAAAACTATTTTAAAAAAACACAAATGGAAACAGAGGGTGGTCCATGACCCCAGATTGATTATTGGCAAATGAAAATGAGAACTGCCTTCAGGTTTACTGATACCATTAATTAGTTGTGACAATATACGTAATCGAAATTCCCCTTCATTAGCCATAGAATAATTATTTTATTTCATAAACTCCCAGAAGGATATTTACAACTCGATATAAGTATGAATTTAAAGATATGCCAGACTAAGACCCATATTACATTAAAGCTAGGTACGTAGTTAAACAGATGATCTCGATACACTTTATTTATATTCATTCCTTTCACTGTTTAAACTTTTCTTGACTTGAGTAAACTATAACCTAGTCACCTTATAACATTGGAAAACTAATCTACTAATTGTAAGCACGAAATTGTCACAATCAACAGAAATAAATGGTCTACTGAACCATAAGTTTATTTCCATTCCTGACGGAATCTAACGAATGGAGTTATACAATGTTAGGAAATTATATGAATCCAGCTATGTCACTATGTTTAGCTTCAAGCCATGTTGTCAACTACTAAGTATGATCGTTGTGTAGGCTCCAACTATGTAGCTTAAAAACAAAAACAGTCACTCCATAGATTGATTCCACTATGATCTTTCTATAATAAAAGTTCCCTCAAACTCGATTTACATAAGCCAATATATTACTAATGCAAAATAGTGCGTTTTAAGAAATAGTTCATAATAACAAAAATATTAGTGTATATAAATTAAGAAAAAACATTACAACCTGTGGACCAATACAAAGTTACAGGCTTAGATAAGCAAAATAAATTAGAAATATGATTAGGTAGGTCTTTAGTAAAAACATCAACACAATCCATATTTAAAACTGTTAAAGGTTCACACAAATTCGATAAGATACTGTTGAGTTCTGTTATAGGACAAGTACATATATGTACACATATCAAAGAAGTAACACTTAACCGCTTTTGAATTTTTTTGATGTTATCTAAAAAGTTTTTTTCATCAATTAAGTCATTATTTGTCAGAAGTAACACAACAGCATTACCTGCGAATAAAATAAAAAATACTAGTTTCAAAACGAAAGTACAATTCTTAGGTTCAGACAGTAGCTTACAGTTTATTACGAGCACGATTGGTCCAGTTGGTTTTATGCAAAGATGAGCGACTGGAATAAGGAGTGTATCTTGTCTTTTTGCAGTTAGGAAAAGTTTCTTTGAACCTCCCAAAAACTTGCTAGTGTAACGCATGAAGTATTTGAATACATCTTCTTTAGGTAGAACACCGGCTAATGTTTCATCTTTAGACACCTCACTTTGGATTAATTCATAACCTTTGGTCATTGAACTGACTTGAGCAGCACGAGCAGTAGAGATGACTGTACTTAATGTCTTATATAGCGTTCCATTGTTATTCGTTTTTGACACATCACTCGGAAAACATGATGATCCATTTACTTCAAAAAGCCTTGTGTACATTGTCGCAGCCAGTTGGCGACTAGAAGCATTTACAAAAACGTTGTCCACACCTGACAGTAATAACATCTGGAAAAGTTGCCATATGATATTTGAATCTGTTTGCCATATATTGATCGCACATTCATAGTTCGTCGGATTAACTCTATTAAGTTTATGATTATTGAAATGATCGATAAAATATGTTAGTAAAGACACACTTTCTTTAACAGTACGGAAGCACAGAACAAATGCGACTGGACCGCTCTTTCCATTAACTTTGATAGATGATGGAGTAATGTCATAAACAATTATTGGAGAATTTGGTATTTTCTGATCATAATGAAGGATTTTCGCACCGACAGAGTTTGCATAAGATATTGCTTCATGAATATAATCAGCACAGAATGGTGGATATTCTGACTTTTCGTAACTTTCCAATTCTTCTGCAGATGTGTTTAGATTAATAAGGCTTTCTATACGACCAATAAAACGTTTGTATGTAGATTCCTGGACTAAGATGACGGGTGAATGACCTATTCCAGTACCCAGGGCATTTTTTAATGATGATACACAGTACCTAGCAGCTGAGTCTATGTCAGATGATTGATAAATCATTGCTATGCTTAGACCATTATAGAAACTTTCCGTGCTTTTGCAAAAGATAGGTAGAAAACTAAACAGTTTTTTTGGAGGAGCAGATTCATGAATAATACGAGTTAATATAGTCAGTGGAACCATTAGTCTTAACGACTTGCACGTAACAACTAAACCATGAAATTTTCCGCGATATACAGGACAGCATAAATAACGAAGAATGAATGTGAAATGGAAGATAAAATCACAATCGTCTTTTTCAACTACGTGTTCGGGATAATAAAAGTAGTCTTCATCTGTAGAAGGGAACTGAGTAAACTCTTGCATTTTCTTAATAACTTCTCGAATTACTTCACTAAAGAAGTCACTGGACTCGAATTCAAGTGAAGCAAAGATGGATTCAAGCAACAGAGTCATGTTAACTTCAAGAGAACTTATAAGCCTTTTCAGGAAACTTTCCAAAGACTTTGAATCATACTCAAAACTCTGTGCAAGCTTGATAGCTTCTAGGTTCATCGACTGGCAGCTGAATACAGAGAGATCCAGTGAACCAACTTGTATTTTATCTATGCTCTCCTTCACTCCTGGCTCAATAAAAACCCCATCTACATATGGGAGAATGTTATGACTACTGTTTCTAAAAGTATCGTCTGAAGACATCTTTGAACAGAATGAAGGTAATTTGGAGAAAGGAGTAAAGCGTTTAGACATTACTTATTGTATTCTTCAATCCGATTAGATGGCCGAGATCGCCTTCAGATATTCGAGGAAGGGAACACAAAAAAGGCTGACAGACCAGTCAGAACGTTCAATGCACTTGTAATGTTTAGCTTTTGGTGGAAGTGTGAGTAGCAGTATGTGATACAAACTGAAAGAGAAAAAATAGCGAAGTTGTAAAAAGTTTTATCGTCGTTTATTTCAAGACAGGAACCCAAGCTGCCAACTTTGGGGAAAATTTGGTCCATTTTGGGGAAGCCGCTGTAGTAAATTTTGGGGAAATGAGACGAAAAACCCAAAAAATTTCCCCAGGGGTTGAGGAAGGCTATTCCACTTTGGGGTTTTCCCCAAAATTTCCCCAAAGTTGCCATCTTGAGAAGTTCCTACACCAACAGCATACAAACCAGAGTCAGTGAATGTAAGGAAGAACACAACGTGAGAGAAACAACGTATATATTTCTGAAATAACAAAACGCTGTTATTTGACAAAAATGAAAGCTTATTAACAAATTAGTCCCATTCATCATTTTGTATGTCTAGTTCAACAGGGCTTGTTCTATTTTCTTCCAGCACATCTACATATTTACAACGTTTCCGAATTCTACACCAAGGTCGATATTCAATAGCAATTATATATTTTCGCCACGAGTTAGTTTAAACTAAATAGTTTGTCTTCGTTAGCTTCTTGAAGTTGAGGTTCAAACACAGGTCTTTTTATCACCCTACGTGAATAACCTAACAACACAGTTACAACTATTTGGAAATGGATATATCGGTAATATAAACTTCTTTTTTGGGGCCCTTGAGGTTGCTGGAACTAGCAGCTATCACGTTACAGGACAATCGACTGATTGGTTATAATACAGAATGTAGTGAGGTAACACTGTAATTGGCAACGTGATATGCAAATTAATTGACAACGGTAAATATTATGTCTCCTCTTTGGTCACCTATTTGTGGTCACATTTATGTATCAAATGTTTGAGATGGTTGTGGACGGAATAGAAGAAGCTTTCACTTAACGGGCTTCCGTGTCTAGTAGCAGTGGATAACCAATACCTCCAGGCAGGAACCTAAGTATGTTAACGATAATGAACGAAAAAATCATAGTAAGATATTATCTTTAGTCTGTAAGAATAGGTCAAGTTTCCTCTTAAAGGACTCCTGGGAAGTTGCTTAGACTAGCTCAGTCGGAAGTGAGTTCCAGCATTTGAAAACTTTTAAGGAGTAGAAGCTGAATCTACAGTCTATTCTGCTATGTTGTCTCTCCAGCTTTCAATTATGACCCCTTAGGTTTGGGTTGGAGCTAAACCTAACTAGGCGTTTAAGGGGATGTCCAGAAGTGTTAAGGATACTGTAAGCCATTAGAAGGCCAAATCTAAGACGCCCATATTCTGATGAGTAAGGGTTTAGTCATTGGAGGATCTCTTCATAAGGCTTAAATTTGAGTCTTCGAACTGATTTCGTGGCTCGCCGTTGGATACGCTCCAGAGTGTCCTTATCCTTTGGAGTGAGGGAGGAAATACCATATTTCCGTACTCTAAATGTAGACGAATGAAACTGTTGAAGATTATGTGGGAAGTACTTTCGCCAAACTAGGGTACCAACACTCCTAAATCTTTTTCGACTCAGTGTATTTCAAGAGAGGAGCTGCATAAGCTGTAGCTTAAGTCTGCAACATGTCTCGAATGGACTACTTTACACACTGATGTGCTGAAGGTAAGTCCGTTGTCATCTTCCCGACTTTGAAGTCGAGTCAGATCCTCCTGAAGTGCCAGTATACCCACTTGATTGCGTATCTCTCTCTCCAGAGTTTCACATCATCAGCAAAAAGTAATAACTCATACGATACCAGTTGTGGTAGACCGTTTATATAAATCAAGAAAAGAAGAGTTCCTAGTACTGAAACCTGGGGGACCATCTGAACATTCCATAGCCTGAAAGAAAGTGAAGTTAACCCTGACCATAAAATGTCGATTTCTTAGATATGAAGTGAGCCAATCAATTAGAGGTGATTTGATACCTAATCGTTTGATTCCATCTGAAGCTTTAGAGAAGTCAAAGTAAACGATGTCAACCTCCCCCTTGCGATCAAGGATGGCTGTCCGTCTGTCCGCCGCAGTTAGCAGGTTGGCTATACAAGAATGACCCTTCCTGAAACCATGCTGCTGGGGTGAAAAGAAGTCTCAGGACAACAAATAGTTGTGTATACCGCAGCATATCAGGGATTTCACAATTTCTGAAGGTATTGAGAGAAGAGCCACCAATCGGTAGCTTGAAGTTTCGTTACTTCGACATCCAACTACTGTTTGTCTGCACTGTCTGTGACTTGACTTCACACGTAATGCAGTAATGATTTCAGTACTTCTGTGGTTCACATAAACACTACTCACGGCGTTCCTTCTTTGTGTGTGTGTGTGTGTTGTCTACAGATGTAAATTTACGAGAATACTAGTGACGTAATATCCGTTTAGGCCACTTTACATTACGCGCCTTAATTACTCCGAAAACGCCGCTGGATTGATGCTTCAATTCACCCTCTCAGAGATAAACGAAAGAGAAGATATATAACAATTTGGTGAATTCCACCTGTGATGATTAAACAAAAAGGAACTTCTGAGCTGCATTTGTTACACAACTATTGTTATTATCTTTAAATGAAAAATATATAACTTGGTTTTAAGTGTTATTTTTAAACATTTTTCCTTTTTCTATACTGCCGTTTAAGTTTTCTTGCATGAACGTTTGCTTCATATAATATTATTTGCTTTGCATTTTATCATATTTTGATCACGTTATCGTACGGGTCAGGTACAGGGGAGAGTGGAAACGCAGTTGATAAGGTGAATAATTATGTCAATAAGCTCGTTATCTAAACAAGCTAGGAAATAAACAAACACACAAGTAAATGAAAACAGCAGAAAAATGGAAATGACTGGCTGAATTAATACATAAGGGGTTACTAATAACAATAAACAGTTGATTTAGAGCTGTAGTCCAGATATATAAATGACGGCGTAATGTATTTCTCCATCAGAGCGTATAACTAGCCAGTGTTCTAGATTAATGATAGTGAACTATAGATATGTATATAGGACCGAGTCTTCACCAAAAACTATCCACTGTTAAATCTGTAGTCAAGTCGTCTGGGGTTAGGTACTAGGTATCGACGAAGTGCAATGGTGAGTATGTGAATTATTTTAAGTTGTTTTTTGTACGAGTCATCAGGAGTATGATTGTAAATGCTTTTATAAAGGCTATCTGGAGTACTTGGTACGCTATTATGATTATCAGGTGGCCCACTATGACCTGACGAATACAAGTTCATATGATGAAGTTTGTTTTCATAGGTTTAGTTTGTTAATCGTATGATCTAATTTATTACAGCCCTCTGAAGCTGTGACAAGGGATTCATCATCCTTTCCAGAGGAAAAAGCGAGACAACTTTATAGCCACTGTACTTGATATTTCAGAACAAATATTGCGCTTCACAAACTAATTTTAACCCTCCAATGAACTCATTTGACCATCTACTTAGCCAGTCAATACTTTCGGCGACATCAAATGCGAAGCTTATGTTCTGGTTCTTCACACACATTCCGCTGAAAACCAGGCGATGGCGTTACAAGTTATTCAGTGTTCTTATAGTTTTTGTAGATGATCTAGGTGTCGTATAAGACTTTTCATGGTTGTTAGCAGACATCTCACTACTCCATGGTAGATAAGTGTATATGTTGGGGATGATATATCCAAAAAACTAATATTCTGTTATTTCATCTTATCGCTCAACTTATCGAATAAATGTTAAATATTTGAATTGATGAACTTACCGATTAACTGATTAAATACGAGTCAATTGACGATCTTATCAATTAAATATTCGAATGACTGTCGATTGATGAACTTATTGAATAATGTTTAAAAACATTTTACAATGACAATATCGATTGTAAATATTTGTATAAATACGCTTGACTTGTGCGCCTGATTGACCTGCCAGACTTGACCTGGTATCTGCTGTTTGCCCGTAGAATATACTTTCTACGCCTCACCAAGACTTCTTGATCGCGTTAGCTGAGTCAGAGACAACGGACCAGAATAGTCGATCGAAATTCTGAATCCCTTGATTCGATCGATAAGTCACTGTCCGATAATCTGCGGCCCCCTTTGAGATATAACAATATGTTAGTGCAGCCTAAGTACTTGCTGAGTCTCATTTTCGAGGGTTTTCCAAGATGAACTCAGACTTGACGTGCATTGCCATCCTTACTGGGGGCAATCACGAGTCAGTCAATCGTGTCCATTGGCCCTGCCACTGGTTTAATTTAATAAAATCGCTTCGTTTAATGCACGATTAGAGTTTCACCAAGAATTAAAATAAGGTGATTTAGCCCTTGAAAGGAAATTTTATGTTCTTAAGATGGTTAAATAGAGTTATTGTCTAATGGAGAACTCGTAATCGGTCTGTGAGGGATACCTTTGAATGCACCAAACGAAGTATATGAGGGATAGTTGGCAAACTGCCATCTCTTTATATTCGACAGTAACTTGTCAAGACGTTGATTAGAAAAGAGAACAAACTCAGTATTTCATCTCAATGGCTTCGGCACTAAAGTAGATATATTGAGTGTTGTGGAAGATTTGGTTTCATATCCAGCTCAATTCCTGAAGATTTACATCATATCAATCTTTCCAATTTTTCAGTGTGATTCAAGCCAGCGATTTGTAGAATTATGATCTGCTTCGATATTAATACTGCCCCAAAAATTGTAGATTTGTTACGATGTAACTGCCTAATCTATATGATCTAACGTGGAAGTCAAATCATTATCTACCTTGGTTCGTCGCATTGTAATAATCATCAATACATGATAAAGAACACATTTAGACTGGAAATAGAACAATATATTTAGTATGGATAAAAACAATGTTACAAAATTATG